AACCCTAAACCCCTAAACCCCTAACCCCTGACCCCTAAACCCCAAACCCTAAACCCCTAAACCCAAAGCCCCTAAACTTTAAACCCGTAAACCCCAAGCCCCTAAACCCTAAACCCCTAAATCGTAAACCCTAAACCCCTAAACCCAAAGCCCCTATACCCTAGACCCCTAAACCCCAAGCCCCTAGACCCCAAGCCCCTAAACCCCAAAACCCTAAACCCCTGAACCCTAAACCCTAAACCCCCAAGCCCTAAACCCTAAACCTAAAGGAGCAGGAGGGGCCTCCTTCTTCTCCCCCACTCGCTGAAACAAAGCATTCGCCGAGAAAATGCCACTGTGCAAGCTGGGCAGGCTCAGCTGGAAGGTCCCAACAGCCCACCGCAAAGCCTTCAGCATGTTGTCTCCGAACGTCAGGGTGCCGTCGTATGTGCGGTGCAAAGCAAAGACAGCATCATGAAGCTGAAGTTGCGAAAAACCAGGAAACGGGACCTCCAAATCATTTATCATGGAGAAAACCCGAAAAGGCGACTGCAGGTACCGCTTGACGGCGGTACGGAATTCTTCCGTCAGATCAACTCCCCTAGACGCCTAAACCCTAAACCCCTACAGCCTAAACCCCTAAACCCCTAAACCCTATAAACCCTAAACCACTAAACCCTAAACCCTAAACTTTAGCCCTAAATCCCTAATCCCAAAGCCCCTAAACCCTAAACCCCTAAACCTCAAGCCGCTAAACCCCCTAAACGCTAAACGCTAAACCCCCAAACCCCTAAACCCTAAACCCTATATGCCTAAACCCTAAACCCTAAACCCTTACACCCCTAAATCCATAAACCCCTAAACCCTAAACCACTAAGCTCCAGATCCCTATGCCCCAGCAGCCCTGTAAAGAATCCCTTAAGGAGTCTTTAAAACCCTTCACTAAAACCCCTTAAAAAGCTCTTTGAAGAACCCTTAGAAACCCTGGAAAGAACCCCTTAAAACCTCTAAAGAACCCTCCTAAACCCTAAACCCTAAACCCTAAACCTCTAAAGCTCCAGATCCCTCCTAAACCCTAAACCCTAAACCCCTAAACCCCTAAACCCCTAAACCCCTAAATCCATAAACCCCTAAACCCTAAACCCTAAACCCTAAAACCCCTATACCCCAGCCGCCTGCAACACGCGCATCTGCCGGAAGTCGGGATCCGGATGCTCCAGTTCCACCCACCTTTGCTTTATGGGAGCTAGGATTAGGGGGACGCTTGGGGATATGCAAAAGTAGGGTTCAGAAGGGGTACCCTTTAAGGGGTACTCCTAATAGTACTACCTGTTTTAGGAAACTACAAGTGGGGGAGTTTAGGGTTGAAGGTTTAAGGGTTTGAGGTTTTAAGGGTTTAGGGTTTAGGATGTAGGGGGGTGGGGAGTTGAGGGTATATAGCACTTCTACAAGGCGTCTAGAAGGGTATATAGACCTTCTATCAGGCTCCTACAACGG